TCCAGAACTCTCACCCCTAATGAGTGAAGGTGGATGCAGAGCCCTGCAGCCCTCACCGAGCAATGGCCAGCAAGCGTGTCCAGCAGGCAGACAGCAGAAACGGGCCCGGGGGAGGCACATGGCCCCTGTGAGGGAGGGTTGTTCCTGGCATTAGGAGAGAGGGTGGCTACAGTCTGACCTGCAGAGCCCAGAACAAACAAAGGCAGGGAAGGGAAGAGAGGAGGGAGATGGGACAGGAGCCCAGGATAGAGACAGGAACCGCCAGGGGGCTTCCTGAGGTAAACAAGCTCCTCCAGACGGAGGGGTCAGCAGGGTGAGGGGCAGCTAGAAAAGTGTAAACGCAGTAACATGCTCAGTGTAAATGCAGTAACATGTTCCGTGTCACCTCACCCGCACTCCGGGTGAATGCTTGCTGATGTTAGAGGGGTCCAATAAATACCACAGAACACCCACTGCCAAAACACCGTCGCCCCCCCCCCCACCCCCCGCATGTCTTCTTCCCTGCAGAGTCCCCTGTGGCCAGGCTGATTTCTGTCCCCGGGTGGGCGAGTCTGTCTGTCTTCCCTGCTGCCCCTTCTCCTGCCTCACGTCACTGAGCCTGTGGTGACAAGACCTTCACTGGGCCGGACACAGGAGCTGGGTCACACCTTCCTCCCTTCAGGTCTCGGGCCCATGGACAATCACCAATCAGACTCAGCATTCGTCCCAGGCCAGGGACAGCCCCAGTCTGGTCCCCACAGAATGTTCCCCAGGCACCCACAGGAGCGATTCCTGAGTGCAAGGCCAGGAGTCACCCCGGGCACTGCCAGACCCAAAGAGACACAAACAGATGCATGAAACTGCCTCTGTGCAGCAGGATTTGCCTTTGTTGGGCTTTGCCCAGCACACAAGTCTCCTCCAGCCCTGAGGCTTGTGGTGACAGGGACGTCTCCGTGCTGCGCCCACACTCACAAGTGCTGGTCCCGAGCGCCTCCCTCCCTCCTCCCAGGCCTGCTGCTGTTCTTCCAAATAGACTTAACGTGGGTTGTCTGAGGCTACAGAACTTCAGCTAGATCTTTCGGTAGGATGCCATGGAACACAGAGACACCGGGGGCACCCGGGGGAAGGCCGTGCCCCCTCACCCAGTGCTCTGTGTGCACCGTTCTGTCCTGAAGGACCCTTTGCTGAGTGTCCACTGTTTCCGAATCGGGTCTATGTGTTCACAGTCAGCATTGCTCAGAGTTCACAAATGTTACGGTCACAAGGCATGAGATTATGAGATAAATATTTCATTAGCTTTCCTAGTTGGCTATAGCAGCGATGAATTTTCACAGATTGAAGTTGGGCTAACAACTGGATTTAGTCATAATAATTTGGCAACCCCTGTTTCCCGTTTTATGACACCATAAGCCTGTTTTATGATATAATAAAATCTGAACATAATGGCATTTTCTTTTATGATTTCCATGCCTTCTGATTCTGGTCTGTTGCTCCCTCGGCCTCCCTCAGACCCTCTGGCCCTGGCCCTGGGGTGCACCTGAGCCTACTCTCCCTCCCATGTCAGGCCTCAGGTGCCTCTGAGTTTCGGGTGTCTGACCCTGTGCAGAGACCAGAGTCCTGGGGATCCGGAACAGGAGGAGGAGGTTGGACACCCAAACTTGCCTGGGAGAAAGGGGTTGGTAACTCCAGCCTCCAAGGAACGGTCCCCCTGGCTGTGCCCACCTGCTCCCAGCCAGGCTGTCTTGCGTCCCCAGGCAGCTGTGGCCTCGGTGCCTTTGTCTGCAAAAGGGGGTTCGAAGAAGCACAGGTCATCCTCACAGAGAGTAACGATTCACAGGAGCACCGTCACCTCTCCTGGTCTCCAGCCCTGTCCCTGGGTCCCAAAGCCACACCCCAGCCAGAGAGAGGTAAGGGGTGAGGGGTCCTGAGGGGGACAGGGGGTAGGGATCTTGAGGGGGATGGGGGTTGAGGGGTCCTGAGGGGGATAAGGAGGGTGAGATGTCCTGAGGGGGACTGGGGATGAAGGGTCATCAGAGGGACACGGGCGGTGAGGGGTCCTGAGGGAACAGGAAATTTGTCATAGACACATGAGGAGAAACCCATGGGGGGGTGCAGGTGTCACGGGGGCTCTCAGACATGAGCCCATGGGTGGGGGGAGGCACTTCCAGGTGGTGGCTCAGAAAGTGTGGGCAGCACAGCAAAGCCATACTGAGACCACCAGTGCTGGCCTCACAGCTGTTAGTCATGAGAAATCTGCGGGGATGCCCCGGCGAGAAGTCTGAGGGGGCATCTGGGGGAGAAGTCTGCGGGGGGCGTCTGGGGTGAGAAGTCTGGGGGGGCATCCAGGAGAGGAGGCTCTGGGGCGCCCGGGCAAGAAGTCTTGGGGGGCGTCCGGGTGAGGAGGCTCTGGTGGCACTGGCTTTTCTCCAGCATGTGGCTCTCACTGCGTGGAGACATCCCTGAGGTGGGCGCTGAGTTCTAATAACGCTTTATTGAGAGAAAGGCCCTTTTCCTACCACACACAGAAGCAGGGACGCCATCCCAGCTGCTTCTGCCCAATGAAGGAAACTGGAACTCTGCTACATGCTTAAAGCCAGTTTCCCTTCCTGACGCCCAGACCTCAGCCTAAGGACACCGACATCAGTGCCAGGAGGGGCCAGGGGCCAAGCCACGCTTGACAGGGGGCAGGAAAGCAGGCCCGGGACAGCATCACAGAGACCCGGCTCTCCCACAGCCTTAGCTGACGGGAGGCGGGAAGGTTCTGAAACATCACAAAGGCCTTGTTGGAGAGGGCCAGCAACTATCGTACCGGAAGAGAGGGAATCGGGCTTTCAGGGTGGACTCGGTGTGGGCCATGCCAGGGCATGTGATGTGCACTGAGGCTCAGAGAACTGCAGCGGGCTGGAACCAGAACTGGCCTGGCTACCCCCGAGAGAGGAGACGCCACACGCAGCCTGGACACCTGCTCTGTGCCGCGTGCAGGGCCACTTCCTGCCTTGAAAAATGCAGCGGTGACACCTTCCTCGGCAGCTTGTGTGTCAAGGGCCACCTGTTCTCTCTGTTTCACCTCTGACAGAGGGGACGGTCCCTGCAAAATCCATTAGGGCTTCATTCAGTTCTGTGTGGAAACCAGAACCCTCAGCGGTCCTGGGGACCAGCCTCCTCTGGGGCTGGAGGCGCACACTGGAGCACGGCCCATGCCGACCATGTAGGTGCCCCCTCTTCGGGCCTGGTGCTACAGGCCCCTTACTTTCCACAGACCCACGTGCTGATGAGATCCAGGCTTTATGTGAACATCACAGACATGCACACGTGAGACCTTCCCTTGGAGGGGTCCTCAGCTCCGAGGTTTACTACAAAACCTTGTTTGTGGCACACTGGCCCTTCCGGTTGCTTTTCTAAAGCTCTGGAAATCTTCTTTTCGTAAAACAAGGCTGAAGGTTTCCAGCACCTGCACCTGCTTTTCCACTCCCAGAACTCCATCTTGCTAAAAGGCAGCTCTGTACACTCACCTGCCGTAGAACCTCGTGGGTCTCTAGGCCCTGAGGATTTTCAGAGAACCCCGACTGCCACAGAACACTGACTGTCAGAACACCCGCTGCGAGTGAGAACACTGGCTCGGAGAGAACACCAACTGTCAGGCAGAACTCCGATTGTCAGACAGAGCAGCAGCTGCTGAGAAAACTCTGACAGTCACACGGAACACCTGCTGTCAGACCACTCACAGAGAAAACACCAGCTGTCACACAGAAGACTGTCAGAGAGAGGACACCAACTGTCCGACAGAACATTGTCAGAGGAAATACAGCTGTCGGAATGCCAACTGTCAGGCAGAAAATTGTCAGAGAACACCGACCGTTAGACACCACCTGTCAGAGGAAACGCCAGCTGTCACACACACTGGGGCGCACGGTGGTCGACAAACACATCGGCAAACACATAACTGAGCCAGAGACTCGGCTGCCAGCTGTCGGCAGGGAACCCTGTCCAGGGCCACTCTCCAGAGACAAGGAGAGGCACAGGAGGTGCCCGGGCATGCTGAGCTGGCTGTATCAGGCCTCGGTCCTGTCTCATGGGCAGTGTTGGGTCACTGGAACACAGCATGGATAAGAGAAAGCACCTCTGTCTTGAGAAACCATGCATGTCTGCGTTCTGTTATTTATTAATCTTGTCTTTTCATTTTCTGAGGCCGGAGGGGGATTCTTGGTCCCTCAGAAACCACTCTGGGCACAAAAGCCTTTTGAGTGACTTCGGTGGGGAGTTTGCATGTTCTGGCTGGTGTGTTTCAGCTCGAGTGGACAGTGTAAGGGAAAGGAGGTGTGGGGAGCCAGTACTGAGCACCCGGACACTGTCCATGTGACAGCTGTGTGTCCACTCGGTGTGGGGCTACCCGAGGGCCAGGCTCTGATAATCCCAAATCTGCTAAAGGCATGATGGGTGCAAACTGAAGAACGAGACACTTGGAACATGGTTCCAACGGCACTGCCGCTGCTGAGGGCCAGGCTGGGAGGGCCACGGAAACGGGTATCAAGACTGCTCAGGCGCCTGCCAGCAGCTCCAGCTCATACTCCACCTTCCCCCCGGCACCCTACCCAGACCTGGCCCCAGCCCCCAACTCCTGCGCCCGCCCGGCACATCACTAGGTTCTCCAAGCTCTCAGGTTCCTGGCCCCCACCTCCAGGGAGCCCCAGCAGGAGAAGCCCTTCTCACTGGAGAGAGCAAGCCACGACGACGAGGGAACCCGGCGTTCCTCGCAGGCGCCCGCGGACCGGGGTCCAAAGTGGGCACGTCCCCTTCCCCGCCCACCCCCCCCGCACTGACCCCCGCGCGCACTCAGTTCTGCGTGACCGGGCATGGGGCTGGGCGTGAGGCTGGGGCCACTCCGGGCGGTCCCCGTGGGCGTCCTCCCGGCTCCGCGCGGCGGGGGTCCCGGGCTCCCGGAGCGCGAGTGGTTGCGCGCCGCGTCCCCGCCCGCCGCCCGCGCCGGCTCCGCCCCGCGCGCGCCCCGCTCGGGCGCCCAGTCGGGGCTCGCGGGCGGGGGCGCCCAGCATGTCCACGCCGGCCCCGCCGCTGCTCTGGCTGGCCGGGGCGCTGGCGCTGGCGGCGGGCGCGGGCAGCCTCTTCTCGCTGGCCGCGCTGCTGGGCACGCCGCCGCGGACGGCGCTGTCGCTGCTCGTGGCCGCCTGGGCAGCCGACGACCTGCTGGGCGCGCTGGCCGCGGGCGCCGTCCTGCTCCGGCCGCGCGCGCCGCCGCCCCTGTGCGCCGCCTGGGCCGCACTCTACCTGGGCCAGGGCCTGTCCAGCTGCCTGCAGGCCACGCTGCTGGCCTGCTACACGCGCTGCGCGCTGCGCCGGGCGGCCCGGGGCGCGGCGGGCCCAGGGCGCGCGGGGGCGCTGGCCGGCGCGCTGGCGCTGGGCGCGGCGGGGCTGGGGCTGGCCGCGCTGCCCCTGTGCGGTTGGGGCGCCTTCGTGCGCTCGGCCTGGGGCTGCCGGCCCGGCTCGCGCCCCTTCGCGCTGCTGCTCGGCGCCGTCTACGCCGCGGGCCTCGCGGGGCTGGCCGGCCTGGCCGTGCCACTCGCGCCGCGCCTGCTGTGCGCCCCCGAGCCGCGGGTCCCGGGCCGCGCGCGCCAGCACGCCGAGAGCACCGCGCAGGGCCGTTTCTCGCTGGCGCTGGCGCTCGGCAAGGCGGCGCTTTGGCTGCCCATGATGGTAACGGGGGCGCGGGCCGGGGCGGGGACCGGGGCGCACGCCGTGGCCACCCTAGCGAGCGGCAGAGACGGGGGGGGGGGCGGTATAGAGAGAGTGAAGGGTCCTGGGGACCAGGCGCTGGGAGAGGGTCCCCCGAGCCGGCCACCCTGTCCTGTACCAAGGGACGGGGGGCGGGGGGGGGGAGGGGGTGGAGGGAGAGAGTGAAGGGTCCGGGAGACCAGGACGCACTCCAAGGCCACCCTGAGAAGGAGTGAAGGGGAGGAGGGAGCGAGGGGGTGGCGGGGGAGAAGGGAGGGCGGAGAAGGCTGGAGCGGGCTGGAGTGGAGGTGACAGGCAGCCGGCCCCCAGCCCAGGAGCCATTGCCCAGCTGGGACTCAAGGGAGTCAGTGGGCAGGGGTGAGGGGCCGACGGGCAGTCTCCTCCTCATGTGGGCACCAGTGGCCCCAGCCAGAGTCTGTGTGTGTGTGAGTGTGTGTGACTGTGTGAGTGTGTGTGTGTGCATGAGTGCGTGTGTGTGCATGTGTGAGTGTGTACATGTGTGTGTGTGTGAATACGTGTGTGCGTGTGTGAGTGTGTGCATGTGTGTGCGTGTGTGAGTGCATGTGTGCGTGTGTGTGCGTTGTGTGCGTGTGTGAGTGTGTGTGCGTGTGTGTGTGGTGCCAGCAGGGCTGACGTGGTGTCCTTTGCAGGTCCACTTGCTGGCCCAGCACATGGTGGATTTCCAGAGCCTCCCCCTGGAGACGCTCAGCTTCCTGCTGACCCTCCTGGCGGCCACGCTGACACCCGCCTTTGTCCTGTCCAAACACTGGGGCCACCTGCCCTGCGGCTGCGCCATCGACTGTGAGCAGAGCCCTGGGGGGAGAGGCGGTGAGTCTGGGTGCCCACGGGTTCCGGAGCAGAGGGGGCGGGAGGCTGGACAGGCTGCAGTGGTTGGGCTGGGGAGGAGGGCGGAGGAGGCGGCAGCCCCGCTGGCCAGTCCCATGGAGAATCCTTGGACAGGCCTCTGCAGTGTTCGCAGCGCTTCTCCCAGGCAGGGGCAGTTCTCGGTGGATGCCGGAGTGGGCGACACTGGCTGGCAGACAAACACTGGGTCTCGGTGACTTCTGTCCCGCACACAGTTTGCCCGAGAGGACACGGTGCCAGCCTGTGCGCCCAACCAGGGGTGCGTTCCCCAGGAGGGAAACTGAGGGACTGTCTTGCTCACAGCCTCAGTTTCCCGGTGTGGGCCGGACAGGACCTGGCTGGTCCAATCTAAGAGGGCATCCGCACCCACACCACCGGCCGACCAGAAGAAGCCAGGGCGGCTCTTTCATTGTTCTTATTGTTTGGCTCCTGGTGACTACAGCAGGGACACTCTTCCTGGGCAGCTGTCATGTCCCAGGCCTGTGGTTGCGGCACGACCTGGAGATGGGAGAACTCACCCCAGCTTTCCTCAGGGCGTTGGGCCTTCTGCTTTTTCACAGACACACGAGTGTGTCTCACCAAGGCTGTGTATGCACGGGCACAGGCATGTGCTGCTGCTCGGGCAGATGGCTGTCTGAGAAAGGCTCTGTTACACACAAGGTGCTATTTGGGGGCCACATCTGCTAGTGCTCAGGTTCCACTTCTGGCTGGGTGCTCGGGGCCCCCCCGCAGTGCTGGGCTGGATCGAATCTGGGCTGGGCAAACAGTCTGGGTTCCAGCCCTCTGAGCACCTCCCCAACCAGCATGTGAAAAGTTTTAAGGATATTCACCAATGTTTCACGGTGGTGTGGAAACAGAAGCTGGTCGCTTGGCTGTCTAGAGGCAGGTTTGAAAGCTGACCTTTCTGTCTGGCTGGCACCGCTGAACCCAGGGCTCCTGCCCCTCCATCTCTAGCCACACCATGGCTGCTCGATTGCTCAGCAAACACCTCTGTGGGCAGCAGCGGCCCAGAGGGCCCTACAGCTCCAGGGAACTAGCAGAGATGGTACTAAGACAGCCCCAGAGCTGCACTGGGTTAGAGAAAAAGGTTCTTGCAGTTTTTGTTTTGTTTTTATTGAAACACCGTGAGGTACAGTTGTAGACTTACAAACTTTCATGCTTGGGTTTTAGTTATATAATGATCGAGTACCCATCCTTCCACCAGTGCCCATTCTCCACCACCAATGATCCCAGTAGCCCTCCCACCCCCTACCCTATCCCCCCCACCCCACCCCACCTCTGTGGCAGGGCATTCCCTTTTGCTTACTCTTTCCTTTAGGGTGTTGTAGTTCGCAATAGAGGTATTGAGTGGCCATTGTGTTCGGTTTATAGTCTACTCTCAGCACCCATCTCACATCCCGAGCGAGTCCTCCAAATATCCTTTACTTGGTGTTCCCTTTTCTATCTGAGCTGCCATGGGTTGCTGGCTTCCAAGCCCTGGAGCAAACATCCTGCAGACCTCTTGCAGTTATTTTAAACCAACCTTAATTATGTACTAATGTATCAAAATCTATGTAGCTGAGGGTCCTTGGAAACTCCAGCTGGAAGGTTCAGAGGGTTCAGAGGTCTCGCTCTCATGTCCCTGGCCCTGGTCTGATCCCTGACACCCCATCATCCCTCGAGCAAATTCTGGGAGCCTTCAGGTCCGGACAGGTGTGAGCCTAAGTGCCCGCCCCGGTCTCCAGGAAAGCATCGGTCAGCATTGGGCCAGGGGCAAAGCCTGCAAGTGAAGGCCGACCTTGGGCTGAAGCACGGGCACCCCCCGAGCATGGCCAGGGGTCACTCCCAAGCCCAGAGTCAGTGTGTGACCCCAAACCAGACACTAACAATGATAACAATAAATGCAGCAGGCAACCGAACAGCATCCCTCCAAGGCCCCGAAATAAGAATCTGCTCTGGATGGTGGGCTGAGGGAGGGTCCCCAGAGTACCCCCAGGAATGATCCCTGAGCACGAGCCAGGAGAAGCCCTGGGCACTAAACCAAAGCCAAACAAAAAATGCTTAATGACATTCCCACACCAAAACTCACTTTCCGTTATATTCTGCCATGTTATTTAGTAAGGCTCAACATCTGTTAAGGGTGTCCGACCCAGCGGGTTACGCCAGACTCAGATAGTGTCATATTTCGCCAGATGGGAACCCTAAAAAGTTTTGTGCATTCCTTCTAAACTCAAATTGTACTTAAGGTTTGTAGTGATGTTGTAAACTGCTTCACAAAAATATAACTCTATTCATTTTTGCAATTCACTTCAAATTTTTATGTATCATAAACGTACATGTTGTGGTTAAATGTTTAAAAACTGCATTTCAGTATTGTCTAATTTTAAGGTCTGCATCTATAAACTTTTATTTTATTTTATTTTATTTTTGCTTTTTGAGTCACACCCGGTGATGCTCAGGGGTTACTCCTGGCTCTGCACTCAGAAATTACTCCTGGCGGTGCTCAGGGGACCATATGGGATGCTGGGAATCAAACCCGGGTCGGCCGCGTGCAAGGCAAACACCCTATCCACTGTGCTATCGCTCTAGCCCCAAGCATCTATAAATTTTTAAGCATCCAGAATGGTATATGTCAAATGTTTAAAGCAATATTGTGAGCTGCTGCTACTATCAGATGCATTCACATATTATACTAAGGACTACTTAATTCCTAGAAAAATTCAAAATAAAAATAAAAATATAAATAACTATATTTTTACCCCTAGAAAAATATGAAGATATTTGGTAAACTAAAAATATAGGAAACTTAATGTGTTTAAAATTTTTCTAATTTTGTCATGAAGTTTTCCTTCATTTATTTTCTACTTTTCTTTGGAGGGGTCTCTAGCAGAGTTCGGGGGCCCATGGGTCGGGCTGACAGTTCAGTGCAAGGACCTACCTAAGGTGTGAGCTGTCTGGACCCGTGGTGCTGAGGACACCAGGCCCACCCCCAGCAGTGCTCGCAGGGATGCCCAGGGATACTCAGGGATCACGCCAAAGCCCCTGTACCAGCTCCTGGCTCTCATCAAGCTACCTAAAAGGCAAAAGGTTCCCTGGGAGTGTACGGGCTTCAGGGGCTTCACGGGGCAGCAAGAAAGATTAGGACCAGTGGGCAATGTTGTCTTTGTAGGACCAGAAGGTAAATAAGAGCCTGTTGACACTCATAGCAGGTGGAGGGATGCTCTGGCTGTTGTCACTGTGTACATCCGTCTGCTGAGTCATTGAGCTCCCGAACCACCGAATCTTACTTTTATTTCCCATTCAGCCAGGAGGCGGGCTTTTGAGTTCAACCTCTCGTTCCAACGGAGTTATGGGATCTACAAGATTGCACATGAGGATTACTACGACGATGGCCAGAATTCCACATCCTACCACAATCTCATGAGCTACGAGGGTGAAGCCACGCGGGAGAGCGGGAGGGGCCCGCCGCACACCTTCCAGGCCGTCCAGGTGGAGGTCAGCACCGCACCCTCGCTGGACAGCTCCCCGCGGCCCACCAGCCATCCCACCAGCACCGCGGACAGCGCTGGGGGCCCAGCCCCAGGCGAGGAGCGCAGTGAGGGCCCTGAGAGGAGGTTGTCCAGCAGCGGGGAGAGCCGGAAGCTTGAGCTCTGGGACTGGGAGTGGAGCCGGAGTAAGTCGGAGAGGACCCCGCGACAGGTACAGTGACCGCGGTAGTCTGAGCGTGACGGGCAGAGGGGACGGGCCCAGCCGGCCTCCCACAGGCGAGCACCTCACAGTAGTGTTTGTTGTTTTGTTTGCTTGTTTGTTTTGCTTTTTGGGTCACACTTGGTGATGCTCAGGGGTTCCTCCTGGCTCTGAACTCAGGAATCACTCCCGGCGGTGCTCAGGGGACCACATGGGATGCTGGGGATTGAACCCGGGTTGGCGGCATGCAAAGCAAATGCCCTCCCCGCTTTGGCCCCCGGTCACAGTGCTTGAAAACGGGCGGGGGTAGCTTGTCTTCCTAGTCTAGACACGTTTGAAAATGCCAGGGGGAGTCGGTCTCAGAGAAAGGCAGGACAGCCCATGGCAGCATCAGAACTCCATCCAGAGGCCACTGAAAGTCTCAGCCCAAGTCCCTGCAAGGCCCCAAGAGGCAAAATCTGCAGCTAAGAGTGTGAGAGTTTGTGTGAAACAATGAGTGTGTGAGTACAAGTGCGAGTGCATGACTGTTGAAAGGATTGTGTTTGTGAGAGTGACAGAGGGTGTGAGTGTATGTGGGGGAGAGTATATGTGAGCATGTTTGAGTGTTATGTACGTGAGTGTTATGAGACTGAGGGGGTTTTGTATGTGAGTGTATAGGTGAGTTTATGAGGGGGAGTGTGAGAATATACATGAGAGTGTATGAGTGAGAAAAGGTGTGTGTGTGTGAGAAAGGGTTGTGTGAGTGCAAAAGAATATATGTGGAGTATAAGTGTGTGTGAGAGAGAGGGTGTGAGCTTATGTTGTGAGAATACATGTGAGAATATGTGAGTATGAGAGTGTTGTGTGAGTGTGAGTATATGTGAGAGTGTGTATGAGAGAAGGTGAGAGTGTGAAAGTGAGAGGATGTATGTGAGTGGTGTGTCTATGTGAGTGTGTGAGAGGGTGTTTGTGTGAGTGGTATATGTGTGTGAGAGGGTATATGTGTGTATGTGTGAATGGTGTGTCTGTGAGATGGTGTGAGCGGGTGTTTGTATGTGTGAGTGGTGTGTGAATGAGAGGGTATGTGTGTGAGTGGTGTGTGTGACAATGTGTGAGAGGGTGTGTGTGTGGTGTCTGTGGGACTGTGTGAGAGGATGTGTGTGTGTGTGTGTGAGTGTGAGAGACAGTGTAAGTGTCACCAATCCTCTTGATCTCTCCTGCCCTGCTCCCCACTCTACTTCATGCCGTCTCTGGAGGATTGCAGCTATCTGGAGCCATACTCAGTCGTTCCCATGTGTCCTGTCACACGTGAACATATTTATGACACAAGGTGCTCTATAGTGTTGGTTCGCTGTGGTGGCAGCCACTGTCTGTGGCTCTCTGGACTTGGCGCCTCCCCCCTCCCCCATTCCACGTGACTTGAAGCGATTCTGCTTTCTAAGGTATTGGGGTGGGGGCGGCTCCATTTGAGGAACAGGCTTGCATCCTACTGTCCCCTTTGACGTAGGTACGGGGGTGTGTGCGCAGTCTCAGGGAACTCTGGCGCTGAGCCAGAGAGAGGGGCAAAGAAGCCCGTAGTGTAGGTCTGAGTGAGCAACCCCGACACTTCGAGCTGGGGTGATTTGGTGACCAACTTCGCCACAAATCACTTCACTCGGGGTGCCCCATTGGCAGAGTTAAGCTGTTCACTGTGAAATGCTTTCTGAGAAGAAAAATCTGTCAAAGTCCGTGAGTCGTAAGATTTAACTGATGATGGGGCTGGCTGCTTCTCCCAGAAACCCTGACTTTGTGGAAGCCGAAGTCATGTCTTTCGTGGCTAACATCCCTGGCCTTTCGTGCTAGCTTGGTTGCTCTGCCCTCGGCCTTCTCTCAGCTGCAGGCTCTCCAGACCAGCCACTTTCTCTCCTTTGCTCAAATTCTCTGTTTACTTGTGTGGACGGCCACACCTAGTGGTGCCCAGGACTGACTCCCGGCTCTGCTCCCAGGGATCACTCCTGGCAGGGCCCAGGGTGCCATGTGGCATCAGGGATTGAACCTGTGGACCGTAACCCTGTGCTGTCTCCCTGGCCCAACCCACTCTCCTTGGCAGGATGCCAGATCAGTGGGTGACGCCCAGCCTGAGGCAGAGTTGGCAGTCAGTTCTCCCGCCGCTGACTGACTCTCTGCAGACTGTCTCCCGAGGTTGAGCCCGAGAAGCCCTCCAGTCTCTGCCCCAGCCCATGTGCTCTGCAGAGGCTGGGGGCTTCTCTCATTGACACTGACCCCTGTCGCTTGGGCGACCTTGGAAAATTCCACAATTCCTCTCCCAGGAAGTCTCCTTCCGTGGGTGTGGAGTAAGATCTGGGAATCAGTGTTTGCTTGCTGGTTTTTCAAAATGCATGTGATGAGGCTATTTGCAAAGCATATATCACAGAGGACTTGTATCCTGAATATGTAACTTAAGAATAAGTCAAGAAAATAAATTAAGACAGCCCAACAGGATACTAGCAAAATATGTTAACTCCATATCACGTGGGGAAATTCCCAAGACAGAACAGTCATAGACATACATAAAGTTGTGCCACCTCGTTAAGGCTCTAGAAAATCTTGATTAAAATAGCCAGAAAGATCACTGAGCTCCCACGGGAAAAGCTAAAATTACGCCACTTGACACAGCCAGGAGCTGATGACAGTGAAACATCAAGACTCGTCCCAACTGCTGGTGGGGAAAAGGGCTAAAACCACCTTCAAAAACAGTTTGCCAACAGCTCCAAAGGTCAGCTATATGCCCGCCAACGTGGGTGTTCCCGCGATTCACTCGGACGTGCGCCTGGAATTGCCCTGTCTGGCCTAATTGGTCGCAGGCAGTCCCTGCAGCCAGAGTGTGACCGTCTTCCGTGGAAACTGTTGAGGGGAACTGCCCCACCTCCAGGCTGAGTGTCCAGACACAGCTGTGACTAGCCCACAGAGACCTGCTTTTGGAAACTGCCATAGTCACATGGGCATCTAGGGGTCCACGAGTCCCTCCGGGTTCAAATGAGCAAGGCACCATGGATGTCTCTGAACAGCCATGACCCACACACACGTCTCCCATGACCCCCGGCGGCAGCTTTCACCGGGATGAATAGGGTCAAGAAATCAGCAGAAACCTGGGTTTAGAAATTCATGTCCTTCAACAACTGCTGGTGGGGAAAATGGTTAAAACCACCTTCCAAAACAGTTTGCCAACAGAAAATCTAATCCCTGGGAATCTGATTTTAGCCTCAACAGAACATGATGAAATGTAATGATCTGCCACTCAGACAGGGTGGAGGCTCAGGGCCAGAGGGGAGCGTCACGGGGAAGGCACGGGCCGGTCATGGGGGCTGTGAGCTGCCAAACAGGGCCAGGCCGGGGAGGAGTCGGAAATGGCACTGCCCACGCTGAGCGTCGGCGTGAGAAGGACCTGAGAATCCTGCGTGCTGAGACTCCACCGGGTTCTGTCGGGGAGGCCTCCCCCTGAGGTACCGAGGGCATGACTCCTGCTTACAGGAGGAAGGGGCTGCCGGGGCAACTGGGTCCTGCATGGATCTCATCCTCGTTAGTGGGGTGGGTATCCATCCAATGAGTGGTGATCCCATTCTAATGGAGGCTGAACTAATTCTGGCGAGTTTTGCTGGACCTCACTGTTTTGTGGTAGTGGACCCCATTCTGGTTTCTGGTGCCAGATCTCACCCCAGTCCTGGTGTGGAGTAAGGCTTCATGGTTCTAGTCTCCTCTTCTCTGTGCAGTGTTGCCTCCTCAGCCTTCCTCACAGCAGATGCAGTCACACGAGTGGCTCACAGCCCATCAACTTTGCAAAACTCAGAATCAAACTAAACATTCCAGAATATTTCACTGGCATTCCCCCTATTCTCGAGGTGCCTGACCCGCCATAGCTCCCTGAGATGCTTGTTAGGGGGCAGCCGCGTCGCCCACTCAGGAGCTCACGCCAACCCCAGGCCCCTCTGCGCAGTCAGCGTTGGTTGCTCATGGCTGCGTGCCGTATCTGCTCCCTTATGTCTTACTCGGTGTATTTTCTTCTTGGTTATTTCTGTTTCTTAGTTTTTTTCACGGGCCTCCTAAGTCCACGTGTTTAGCACTCGGGCAGCTGAGCTGGAAGTTCCCTCGGGGACCTGTCGTTCTGGGGATCAGGCCCAGAGGGTACGAGACACAGCCCGGCCACTTGGTCCGCAACACCAGTCCACAGTGACTGGGGTCCTTTGGTGCATTTGGGGCCAATGACCATCCCCCTAGCTGATGGATGGACAAAGAAACAGGGGCCACAGCTAGTAACTGGGTTGGTAATCAGAGGCCATTTATTCCAGTCTCAACATTAGTTATGGAGAAACTGTGAAGCATTGAGGCAGCAATTGCACATAGGTGTGGTTGGACACTAAAATAAACAGTGAGCAGATGCAAAGTCCCTCCTTCAGGGAAGTTCTTCTAGGAGACCCACCCCAGGACGGAATCTCACCCAGGGGATCCAGCACTCTACATTGATACCAGGAGATGCGCCCAGGGGGCAGGATTCCATCCAGGGCATATTGCTTTCTCCTTTCCTCAGCCACTATCCACCTGAACAATCATAGTAAGTTTACATCTCCAATGGAGACGTTACTGGGCCCGCTCGAGCAAATCGATGAACAACGGGAGGGCCTTTACTTTACTAATATTTCTAGTCATTTTGTATGAACACAGTAAGGGATATATTACGCTTAATGGTTGGCTCTTCCTGGGGTCTTTCTATGTATCCCAGACAACAGTCCTCAGTCCAGAGAGTCTTTCCTAGCCCCAGCCGGGTCCTTATTCAGTTATTTCTTTCTTTGTCCATGACTGTGCTCTTAACTTATTATACTTCTTATGGCGCTAAGCCTGTCTCTTCTCAAAACTAGGGTAGTTACAGCTTATCTTCAATATATCCAAATCCCTTCGTGGGACCCTCCTTTTGGGGTGCTAGGAACTAAGGGCAACTGAGGCTTAAGACAAGTAAATGTGATGAGTGCTCAGGAGTGAATATTATCTGGAGTTTATTT